ATCAAGAATTGGTCACAATCTGCAGCTGGAGGAGGGAGAGGAGTGCTTAGGGACCGTCTACAAACTGCAACGGGGTTTTGGGAGATCTCGCAAAGGGGTTTTGCGAGATCTCGCAAAACATTTAATTTTTTTTTTTTTTCAAATATTTTTTTGTCTCCATGTCCCCTCGGGGGCTCCGTAATGAAGCTTGTTCCATTGGTGGAGATCTTAGAAACACACAGCTTCCCCTCCTGTTGTTTAGATTCTTGATACGCCCTGTGTACTTATCCCAAATGTCTTGGGGGGGTCCAGGTGTTTCCTAACGTAAAAGTAACTCAGAGATGTATCGAGGCCTGAGACCATTTAGATCTTTATAGACTTGTAACAGGATTTTAAAAGCTATCCGTTGACAATAAGGAGGCCAATGCAGAGATTCAAGGACCAGTGTGATGTGCTCCACTTTCTCGGTTTCATTGAAACACATGCCAGCACAATTCAAGACAAGATTTTTTTTACATTTGAGTAGTCTATCCAACTGAGGAATTGCATGAATACGTTTTTCTGTAACTTGTTTTCGACGGAAGACATGAATTCCTGCTATGTTTAAAGATTTTGTAATTGTCTTAACTGGGCCCTGTTATGCTTTATGGGGTTATCCCTTTCCTGTAGTGTATTATACTGGTTTAAGTGAATGTAAATGGTTTGCGAATACAAACATCCCAAAGTTCCTGTAACGCCTTGATTGTAGTCCTTTGTTTACTTCCACGACATAGTGACATCACTATGTAACACTCAAGCTTCTATAGGATAGTGCTCCAACACATTGTACGTGATAAGGGGCAGTTGAGCAGTTGACCAATCACAACAGGAGTCAGGAGTGGGTAGCTAACCAATCAGAGCAGACTGGGCTTAAATGGGACTGTTGAAACTTAGTGCCCAGTCACTAACATTCTGGAATGTTTTGTAGATTTTAGTGTAGTAGATATTTTAATCTTGCTTTTTCAGGGCTAAAAACAATGATTTAGTTTTTTTCACACAAAAAACTAAACCTTCTTTATGGGAACTCTGAGTAATCAACCCTGATGCTGTCATCCGCAGAAAAACATGCATTCAACTAAACGCTGACGTCTTTAGTTGCAATGTAAACGCTCTCTATGGTTTTAGGAATCCTACCTCTGGCTCTATAGAAGCAGAGCAATAAATAGCATGACGTTGATGTTTTCCTTTTATCCATGCACCTGTTCCTTATCCCTCACCGCACGGTTATTATTGAAACCATGGAAACGAACAAACGTAAAAGAGACATGGTTAATCCCAATCGCCTGCCAAGTATCTTCCTAACCTTTCCAATGATGTTTTGTCAGATAGTTGTCTGCAATAAACAATCTGGCGAGTCAGGTTATGACTTCTTGTTATGTACTTTCAATTTCAAGCTGCAAGCCATTTTTATTTGCAAAACAAATGCTGAGTTTGGCACATTTAGTAACATCAGCTTATATAGCTTTTTCTGTATTTGTCTTCCCTTTTCAGATCCCTGTTGTCTCTTTCTACACTCCATCTTGTCTTTTTAATCAACTTTGTTTTGGGGGAATTTGTTGTTTTTTATTTTGTCTTTCAGATGTGTATTTAATCCTACCTGTTGACTTTTACCCTCTCTGTTGCTGAGGTCGAAAATGCTATTGACCTCCGCTTTGTCCCCATTTTGAACCAAAATAATTATGTTTCCAAACAAAGTCTTTTTTAGATCCAAACCTAACCCACATTTTAAAACACCATTTGAGTATTTCATTATTTTCCAAACAAGAGCCATTTTCCCTTTGGCAGCAGGAGGCCTTTTTCACATAAAGATGTCTTAGAGACCCCAAGAGACAGACATGCTTTTCACAGCTCACCCGAGTGGCATCACCTGTCCTGTCCCCTTTGTTATCACTGTTCACCCTCTGTCATGGGGGGCCTTCCTCCTCCTCCTCCTCCTCCTCCTCCTCCTCCTCCTCCTCCTCCTCCTCCTCCTCCTCCTCCTCCTCCTCCTCCTCCTCCTCCTCCTCCTCCTCCTCCTCCTCTTGTCTCCTCCTCTCCTCTTGCATTTACCTGACACCTCTCTGCTGACACTACATTTCGTTGCTGTTTGCCATTCGTCCTCTTCACAAGCAGCACCAAGGCCCCGTCTGAGGTCAACGAGGAGAAGGAGGAGGTTAGTGGAAGTGGTTTGGGGGGGGGGGTACCCATAGAGCTGCTAATTTACAGCCCTGCCTCCTTGTGACATGCGGCTCCAGGGGACGGGGCCAACATCAGACCTCCATGGGCCAGCTCCCTGCGCTTGTTACATTAATTTCACGGCTCTTGTCACTGCTTGTCTCAAATGTCATTCCTGACTGAGCTGCACTGGACTAAATGTTATCTCAGGAACTACATGTTATCACCGGGGCGGACTCTATTTAAAAACATGGACACATTTCCAGAAAGCACTGCAGGAACTGGATTAAATAACAGCACCTCATTTTAGACGAGAGCTAAAGGATTTAATCCTGTTTCTCCGAAAAATCTTGTCTTTGAGGTTTCAGAAATCCACACACAAATAAAGAAGTGGGGTTGCTATGTGACCGGCTCAAAGAAGCAGAACAAGTCTGACAGTCAAAGAACACATAATTATTTTTGATGCTCTTGGTCTGACCACAGAAAGCCGGATACTTCAGCTGATTTGCCCACAACAGAATCAAACGACTAGGTAATGGTAGGTTTTGTACCCCTGTTGCTCAGTTTGCATTTACATTCTTCCATTTCTTCTTGTTATAAAGATTACTGTGACACATGCACACCAAACTAATCATTTGAAATCAGTTTGCGACTGAAGACATGCAGAGTTTCTGCTGTCGTGATCACAGTGGGGAGCTCGTTCCACCATTTAGGAGGATAGCAAACCGGCGTGTTTTTGAGGGGTACCTGGGTCCCACTCGCAGAGATGAAGAGGCAAGCCGATTGGCTGACTGGTCGAGCGAAGTGCACGTGATGGATTATGGTTTAACCAGGGCCGGAAGGGGCTGATCCCTTTATAGCTGGGTCGGCCAGTACCAGTGTCTTGAAGCAGATTTTGGAAGCCACTGGCCAAGACACTGGTACATGGTTCACATTACCTGTAAAACAAAATCTAATTAATTACCTAATCCAATTATCAAATTATAAAAGAATGTAACCTGATTACTTTCCTTACTACTTTTTATAACCTCAATATCAGATGCAATGCAACTTAATTAAATATAAAATTAAATATCATGAAGATGGTTTTTACTGAACTGTACTATACAGTATTAGACAACCTTAGAAAATAAGAAACCAAGTTATTTTGTATCATTCCTTCCTTATCAACAGAACATGCTCTATATGCTACTATAAACTATAGTATATGGAGCATAAGAGCACCCACAGTATTTTAAACAAATCAGGTGTCCACCTACTGAACTGTCAGAAGAAAAAACACAGCGAAACACACGCCTCAGGATTTCAGATACATTATAGAAAAAGCCTGCCGATGACTAATGCTGTTCAACAAATGCTTTTGTAGTTGGCCTTATTATGCTTTGTTGAGTTTACCCTTCCCTGCAGCGCGTTATATAGGATTTAGTGCATGTACATGGTCTACAAAGGTTACAATCCCAGAGTTCCCTCCAGAGTGAGATTCTCTCCCACACACTCCCCCCCCCCCACCTCCATTGGTTTCCTTTGTTTACTTTCGGGACATTGTGACATCACTCGTAATACTTGTGCTTCTATTGGCTATGCTAAGAGTGGGACATTCCTAAATAGTTGAACATTCACAACAGAGCCGGCCTTCTAACCAATCAGAGCAGACTTGGCTCTTGCTTAAAAGAGGTGCAGCAGCACAGGCAGTATTAGAAAAATAAAGCACCTTTTCAACATTAAAGCATGAAAACATATCACATTTGAACAAATAAACCAAAACATAAGTATAATAGGGCCGCTTTAAAAAAGGATTACATATTTTTTTGACTTCCCCTTTGTACGAGAATAAAGTAAAAAAATGTTGTATCTTGATTACGTATTCCGGTTACATATATTGCCTTACTCCCCATTCCGTCTGTGATCACTTAACAAGTTAATCCAAAAATATTCCCTCTAATATTCTGCTATACCAGCCTGCAGTTTCTCTCAATGCAAAACCCAAAGCCTGACTGAAGACAGTTAATCGTCTGTATTTGCTCACGTTGAACGTCCTACTGTACTTTCAATGTCACACCGTCATAAACGTTCACTAAGTCACTAAATGGTGTGCCAAGACTATCCCAGAAGTCACGCCAGGCTGGAGCTATTTCTCCTAATGGCAACAGTTGTATAATTGATTTTTTGTCCTAGTGTCTGAAACATCTGAAAGGAAAGTACCAATTTGGAGACCAAATACCATCCTAGGAATAAGAAAGGAAGAGGGGGGGGAGACTAAATCAAATATTTGAAGGTGTTATGAACTGTGGGGATAACTTCGTAATACTTCAACCTGAGTATTTCATGTTAAAGAGAATTCGCATTGCAGTAGGACTTTTATTGGGATAAAAAAGGATTATAATGGCTGGAAATAACCATGTTCTCTCTAATTCAGACATTGCTCCCTAATGGTATACATGCTTCACTGTTTTAAAATGTCTCGGGGAAAGTATTGCTGTTGCAAACCCAGGCAATACATCCTTGCTATCCACAATAATTATGCAACAAGAGGTGGGATCAGGCAGTACTTACCCACTCATGCTATAATGATGACCACTTAGCCCTCAGCATATACACCTGCATAATGGACATGGTAAAGCAAGAGACTTCATTGGTTTGTTTGTGTCGGTGGATATGGAGAAAATCCCATCCACGAAAAAAACCTACAAAATCTCACATTTGACCATATCTGCCTGCAGCTGTTAAACACTGCATTGAATCCTCTCTCCCGTTTCGTTTTCTCCCACGTGCACACGCGCAAACACACGTCCCCCACGCAGCCGGGCGCGCACACGCGGACCCCGCTCTCCGATGCGCTGCACACAGGAGCCCCTGACAGTGCCCGCGCCTGCTGCCTGCGATCACTGCTCGCTTCGCTGGATGTTTGCGCAGCAGAGGACACCTGCCTCCGCCGATCACCGCACCGAATCCCACCTCGTCGTTAACTTTTGCACCGTGTGACGTTTTTTTCACCTGTTCCAAGACTATCGGTTGAAAACAAAACCTATATACCCTGGCGTTTGACTTCCAACTTGGATGGATATTTGCGACATGTTTAGAAAGTTCCCCCTGCGTCAATGAGCATGGGCGCAAACTTTAGAAGCTTTTTTATAATACAAGGCAGTTTTTTGGAATGAAGGCAGGCGAGTCACCCGAAGCGTGAGTGGCGCGTGGAGATCCGGGGGCTCTCCAGGTGCTGGGAAAGGAAAAGGAGACACGGAGGAAGTCGTGATCTGTGCGGCGGATTGCGCCACGGAGGACCGGGGGGGAACGGACCGATGAGCCATCATGGGTAAGTACGAGCAGGCATCATCAGTCTGAATCATCACTATTATTAGTTGAGCGTATATGTGGTCCTTATTATAACAATGAGGGTTGATATGACGCATATGATAGTGTGGATGTTTGGATAATTCCATCTTTCTTGCGGTTTATTCGCTCCAGATCACTACTTTTTTTCCAACTGCCAATATTTCTTGAGATTATTTTCGTTGCATCATCACCACTGAGAGGTTTTCCTGCTCTATTAAATGTAAAAACACAAACACTGCAGGAGAGAGTGCTGGTGCCTCAAGAGGAGGATGGAGACAATCATGCTCACACCTTTATGATGTGGAAGTGAAGCCAAAATGTGCGACGTGCAGGTGCACAATGAGCTAATAATAGACAACTATGTGTCATTTATTTTCATTTCATTTAATCGTTTATTTGAACAGGGACAATGCACATTGATGAACACTTTAAATAAATAATGCTTCAAGTGTAAATATGCCGGATTTTAGCTTTGAGCTAATTTCCATCTGTAGTCCCTGACAACATTTAAGTGTCATATATGACATCCCCCGTATTGAAGTTGCATACCCCCCCCCCCTCTCCCTCTTCTCCTTATTTTCCAATCAGAGCTCTGGCATGTTTTGACTCCATCCACCTCCCCTCTTCTCCTGACAGCTCTGGGCACCTACAATCTCATCCCACACTGCCTATCAGCCTCCTCCATTTTACTGTCTGTGGGTGCTCCAAGCCTCACAAACCCACACTTCTCTTCGGTTTTCCCAGCTCATTTTTTTGCATATTTTTTAGGTGCTCAAAGAGAACGGTGGGTGTTCCGAATGTCACTGAAAATGCGTGAAACGAGGTTGAAATGCAAGCCCTCTGCAGGTGTTATGATGGAAAGCCTCATCTCCCTTTTTTCTTTTAAGTGCAACTTTTGTTGAAAATCTCAGTGAAGGACTATTATTAAGCAGAGGCACACTCGTGCACACTTGTTTGATTGGCGGTTAGGTGCAGAGAGAGGCGTTTTGAAACTGCAGCCCCACTGTGATGGATTTTTGTCTGTCTCGCTTTAGTTATGCCTCTTCTTTTGTTTCGTTTTTTATTTTTAAATGAACCGGAAATCTGGCACAGGCTGCAGAGATGCGCGCGGCCCCGCACATCTGTGCAGAATGGTGGCACTTATCCAAGTAATGAGCAGCTTAGCTCGACTAATGAGCACATGCTTTTACAGTTTTAATTATGTCATCACAGTTACTCTCAGCCAACATAAGTGGCTGCATTGCTTAGGATATCAACACTTGTGACTGAATTGCTCTCTCGCAGTGTCTTGTTTTTCACAAATTACGTAAGAGGGCAATATTAACACTGTCTCTATATGACCTTTTCTTCCTTAGGACAATTAAACATGACATCAACATGATGTGGCGTAATGCTTGTAGTCTAGGTACTGTAATCGTGGTAATCTTCCATGCAAATTATCCTAAAATGCTGTTTGTAGCTTCTCAAATATGGGGATTTTCTGGTCATATTACACTAAAATATGTTCAGCTTTTTAAGTGACAAATACAATTTTAAAAGATCAACTTGGATTTTGAGAAACTAGTAAGGCCATCATTCTCCATTTTCTGATATTTGTTATCAATCAAACAATCAATGAATCAAAGTTTATTTAAATAGACCAATATCACACATTTTACAATTGTCTCATGTCTCACAAATGTTTCATTCTAATAAATCAATGAATCTAGAATGTCAGGCAGATTAATCAATAATGAAAATAATCCTTGTTTGCAACCCTGACAGGGCCCTGATTATGACTGCACAGACACTTGTTGCTGTATTTGAGAATACCAGCGTAGTAAGAACTACTCAGAACAGCAACTAGAGTTGCAGCAAACACTTATCTAAAGCATGATTTGACTACATTTGATTAACTCCCATCCCAATTTCCCTGAAATGCTTGAATTTCCTGGCCACAACACCATCATTTGCAATTTACAGTGATATAAAACCAAAAAGAGCAACATTTTCTCACATTTGAAATGCAGAACTACAGCATATTTTGAATTTTTGTTTAACCCTCTGGAGTCTAAGGGTATTTTCTCGATTTTTAGATGTTTTCTTAAATCACCTTTTAAATGTATTTCTTCTAACATGGCACCCCATGTGTTAAATATCAAAATGTTCAGGACAATCTCTGGTATTGCTATATATGCAAATTACTCACCTTAGAGCACTGTTTGATGAGATAAGTAGCTCAAAAGCTTAAAATTTGACATCCGATTTTCGGAAAATCTTCAAAACTCTTGTGAAAACACAAATTTACTCATGTGATCGAATTATTTTGGTGTTTTAGATTTGGTTACCAAAGTCTTAGGATCACAAAAGCAGTGAAATATTTGAATTACACTGTATATAAATGTGTTATTCATGTCTAAAATGAAAATTAATTAATTCGAATTTTGAGTAAAACAGGTGTTTATCACTCTACTTTCACCACAGCAGGGACTGAGATACATTAGGACTAAATAATGACTTCATATTACATACCAAGGTTCATGTGATGTGTACAAATACAAATTGAGCATTCAAACTTTGTATTCAACCAACTATTTATTATAAATATAAGAAACTGGAAAATCTCACTATTTACAATATTGAACATCAGAACTTTCAACCAACTCTTCATTATAAATGTCAAGACAGTGTCAAGGTCTTTGTCTGTCTTCCAAGAGAGTGGGTCTGGCTGCTGTGTAGGTGGGGGTGATGGTGCATGGGCTTCTGTGTAGGTGGGGTGTACAAGTGCTATACGAGACCTCCACGAGACCTCCTTGCTGGCTGGGTTGAAGGTGATGGCTGTGGTGGAGCCTTTGTGCTGAGGTGTATCTTGACCTGGCCGCTGCAGATGGAGGTGGAGGCAGCTGTAGTGATGCTGGTCTGCTGGTCCTTGGTGGTGATGGCTCTGGTGAAGGCCCTTGAGCCACAGTAGATCTTGACCTGGGGGCCGGCACAGATGGATGTTCTGGCTGCTGGATAAACGCCGCCTGTGGGCCACTAGGCCCAGACAGATGTGAAACCTCTCTGTAAAACAAATTTAAAATGTTAGTTGTAAAACAAATTAAAATGTAGGACAATAATTACAACTAATTTCATTGAAATAATAAGTCAAATGTTGCTCAAGCACAAATAACAATGCACACATAAAAAGAAAGTTTGGGAGGTTGGACAGGAGTCTCTCTCTCTCTCTCTCTCTCTCTCTCTCTCTCTCTCTCTCTCTCAGACACACACACATGTGTGGAACTTTCTTAGTAAGATCCCATGTTCATTACAATTGTGGTCTTACCTTGACTTGAAGATGAAGTCCATGCTATCCTTCTGGACAACAATCTCCATTACATTTTTGTAAAAGTCCTCCTTATCTTCCTCTAGTTTCAAAACAAAAGTCTAGTTTGTTGTTCGCGTCTACCGTCTCTGCGTAGAATAATAGTAGCAACAAGAACATGTGGGCTCACGTGCGCCCCCTTCAGTGCGGCAGAGGTTATGGCTGCCTCTCCAGGTGCTTTTTTCATTGCCGTTGTATGATGAGACCAGCGGGCCTAAATATCAAATATATGTGAAATAAGTTATTTAGAGACTATGGATGGTGAGGATAAATGTAATAAAGGGATCTACAAACATTACATTGGTGACATACAGTGAGATGGTAACAGGCATGCGCTTAGGGCCCGCTTTCCAGACAGTTTCTGTGGGGTGACGCATTCTGAGGTGAGGCAGAGCTCATCTGTGCCTCACCTCACCCCACAGTAACTGGCTTGAGCGCGCTCACAAAATAAGTGCCCGCGTTAAATTACTGCCCGCGCTCCAGCCAGTTACTGTGGGCTTACGTGAGGCAGAGCTCGTCCCTGCCTCACTCCTCTTCGCTCCCATGTAGTTGTAGCGGAGCTCGGCCAATTTGCTGAGTTTGACTATAAAAAGCGATTGGAATCATACAGAAATCACACTTACAACACAGATCAGTGGAGACATTTTATTATTATTACTATTTAGTTTTTCTTTAGTTGTTTTTCCGTTACATTGGAGTATGACAGGTGAGGCTCTGCCTCCCCTGCCTCCCCTGACTGCACGTCGCTGGCTGGAAAGCTACACTTTCAGCGATTCCGCGGATATCTGAATCATATTTCTACTCCTTATAATCGAAAATATATGATTAATTTACGTAAATTATGCGCACTTGGACGCGCCGGCGCGTTATCTTCTATAATTGACTAAAGTCAATGTCCCCCTCCCTCTGGAACTCACTCCCATAACCCATCAGAGACTGCACTGACCTCACCACCTTCAAAAAACTCACCTCTTCAATCTGGCTTTTAATGTGTGATTGTTTTTGTATTATTTGACTTTAACTTTAACTATATATTTATTTGTTGTTCCTTTCTTTTATTTTCTCTTCACTATATCTGTAAAGCGTCTTTGAGCACCTGTAAAAGCGCTAACAAATTAAATCTATTATTATTAATCTATTAATGTATAGGCCTGCAATTTACGAATATTTGCAGAATAATCCCTTGATAATGTCTTTTTTTTTTTTTTTTTTAATTCTTTATTTATTTGGGGTCACATTATTTTATAATACAAGTACAGTTTTTCAAATCATATATTTTTAGAGACCCAAAAGTGACAAATGAAATAGCAAACAAAATTAGTCAAAATAAAAATAAAAACGAAAAAGTACACAGGGGTTGTTTGAAATAATGTCTTTTTTATCTGAAAAATGTAAGAAAATTGTGTAAAATGGCGTCCAGTGTTTCTCAGAAGCCCAAGATTAGGTCCTTAAATGTTCCATTAGTCAAGTGAGAAGTAATGAAAAGCAGATAATATTCACATTTGAGAAGCTAAAGCAGACACTTTATTGTTCTTAATACATTACTTAAGACAATGAATCAATTGTTGGCAAATCAATAGTTGACAATTTATCGATTAATGAAGCATCAAGTAATGTCGTATGGTTAGGCTTAGGCT